TTTAGAATTGATATCATTTTAAAATTTCATAAACTAGGTTCCTTGGTCTCCCCCTCCACACGAGGGTGGGAAGATTATATCAGGCTTTGAGAAGACCGTGCTCGGATGAAGAAGGCTTAATACTGTGATAAATGTCGGGCGCTTTGCATGAGGCCCATGTTATCTAAGTTTGAATCGATAAAGGATTTGTACAACTTTACAGAAATCAGTGAATGATCTCGAAATATCGCGACAAGATTCGTAAGTTCTAATAGAATAGCATTTATTAAGACTGCAAATATTGCATTAAGTCATTCATTGGGAAATAAACAGTCGAATTATTTTCTGGAAATTTATAACATCCATTATTTTATAGGGAAATGGCACAGGGTGCTCTGGACAAGCCGCCATCGGTGTGTAGCTCGGTGTATCAGTGGTTGTACCGCCTAATCAAAGCTAATCAGTCATTTCATAATGGCTGTCATGAACATGTGGTTTTCTCGGGAAAGCCAAAAAATATGGCTGGCGTCACTGCGTAAACAAGATCGTTAGATTTGGAAAACGCAAAATTCTGACTGTTTCGCATTGTGAGTTCGCCTCAAGTCCTCCGAATACGAGGTTAAACCTCACAGCGGGGCATACGTGATTAAGCGCCACAAATTCAGTAAAATGGTCCCTTGGGCGATAATCATCGGCTATCTGTCACGAAAACGGATGAAAAACTTTCTTTGCTCGCAAGGGTATGTAGTCGACAACGGCGTATTGTGCGCCACATTTACGACGACTTGTCCAATAGCAAATGTCGATTTACGGAGATGACAGCGACTTCGATGACGACAGTATCCCGCGATGGACAATAGAACGAGTGACGAATTTTTCCTCACTGACTTCATGATTACTCGACTATGCCTGAGAAGAACAAGCTGCCAGAGTTAGCCACCGATACTCTTCATAGCGAAGTGGTTCTCGCCGTTGAATCTCTTCAATCAGCAGTTCATGGAGCTTCAGCAGCGGAAAGAGCCGAGTCGAAACCGGTGGAACACTGGGCCGATAACAGCGTCGCAGAAAATCTACAGGGATCGGTAAGTGGAATCTCAGTGTAAAATTACGTATTCACTTTCCTAAAAGAAGCAACCCTCAGACAGCTGTTCGATCTATGAGGAAATTCAGCAGCTTTTAAACTCATATTCAAAGAGTACCGTGAATGATTAGGGATCGATACTTATCGTTCGTGATGATGATTGAAGCTATTTTGGTCAAAACCTCAAGTTCTTGTGTTAAAAAACGAATATACATATTTTCTTTCATGCTGCTAACAAAGGATTCAGAGGAGAGTCCGTTCGCCATGCACATTATGGCAATGAACACGTCTATTCGTGGAAAATGTTCAAAGTTACTATTGAAAAATATTTTTTATATTCCGCTATTCAGCTCGCGATCCAGATTTCCAGTTATCTAAGATCATCGCATGTACATGAAAGCAATATTGGAGATATCATGGAACTTCATTATGCTGTGACTGAAAATAAAAGTAGGCTGTACCTTACTTCAGCTCATGTGTACGTATTGAGGAAACAGACTAAATTCTGCCATTCGCAATTCAGAAGTAATGTAACATTATGTACGTGTTGAACCAAAATTACTATGTAACATTTTTGAAATACTGATCAGCCGTATTGCGTAAAAATTATGGGTTTTCTACGTCTTGATATTATTGAAATACCACTGGAAGCTTTGTATCCTCGAGAGAATGAAACTTTCAAAGGGAATTGGTCTGAAATCTAAGTTCATAGACACGTTATTAAAATTGATAGATATTTATCTTCTTATATTCTTATCCGCTTCACTGTCGATGTTTTACGTCAAAATTCTTGAAAATACTACGGCATGACATCATCTAATTATAAACATTGTGACTTGTTCGAAACGTCACATCAATAAATTTATTCACTTTTCTATGTGCTTTAACCATTGGATCAAAAGACCTTTTATATTTGAGGATTCTTACTAACAGATATTTCTCATTTACTTTTTAAATTTTTTGAAACTGCTTGACGATCAATGATTATTACCCAATCTGAAGCAAGATCTGCAACGATTGTACCTCTCGTGGTAGTGAATCACTCATAAGATATGTCAAAGTTGTTGAAGACACCACCTGATGTGGATGACAAATCTTCAGTGGTTCCCATTTCGTGGCCTTGTTTCTTTCGAGTCATGGAAAAAACTGCGGTCAACAATCAAGCAACTAGTCCGCATCAAGAACAGCGCCGAAGAGATCTCTCGCTAAAGGTATCAGGACAGAGGAGTGGTTCTTCCTCTAATTCCTCTCCAGAAACACGGAAGTTGCAAGATGGACGTGAATGGTCAGGTAGTCATTGTCAGATTGACACTTTCAATAGAAAGCCAGAGCACTTCAGCAGTGTCGAAGTGGAAAAGCAGCACTCTTTGCACTTTCGCAGTACTGGATTCAAATCCTAGCACGGAGTAGTTAAATTTTAAATCTAAATTTGCACGTTCAGGCAGATCAAGATGAATTGCTACCAGAAGGTGCATCGGGCAGCATGGCCGTAGGTCTCTCGTGCCGGAACCACTACCTATGCCACCCATTTTTTGCTGGTAGCGCCGGGGTCAGGGGAACGACTTCTTTGCACACGGGAATTAGCAGGTAATAGGGCTAAACGTACCTTGATTTTTCAGTTTCAACAACTCACTCTAACGCGCAATTCTTACTAACCCATTGCGTCACTGCCCTCTTACATTCCTTAACAGCAATCTCCCTTGTATAGCACCTCGGCATAACCGATCGAAAATCAGATAGGGAATTGTTGTCATGAAAATATTATGGCCTTGGTAGTGCTATGAAGTAGTCATGCAGAGCTTGGGTGACTGAGAGCCATGTTTTCTGGTGCGTGCGCCAAATGGATGCAATCTGACTTGACCCGTTTTATAGCTGACTATAAATTAGCCTAACGTCTGATTTGCACATTTAATTCGAATGAAAAATTTTATTGCTTCCATTTAAAAAAACAGGCGTACAAACCTGTAGTAACGAAGGTTCATCATCTAAATGTAGAATAGCTACACAAATTCTGACCCATTCCTATGTGATTTAGCACAACAAGTTCCATGATCGCTACCGACCTCGTTTTGGACTCTATAGTGTACTATTCAGTTCCAACCAATCTAAATAATAAGTAAAAAATATCTGTCGACAAATCAGTTATGAAGATTAATTTCAAACCAGTGTCTCGTTCATCTCTTAACTACATTTGCAAAATACTTTATTTACTTAAAAAATACTGCCACCAGTCGTAATAGGATGACTTGAGAGATCGTATTTCTCTTCAGAAGTACGTCTCTCAGTTTCTAGGCGATTCGGATTACTTTTCAATACGTCTGCAGTGCCATACCGTTTAGATAGATGAAAAAGTTGCGCATATCTAAATGGTGACACTCGGTTGTGGCTCCTTAGCAAAAGCGTTATTTTCGAAGATCACATATGCAGTTAGGTAGACACTAAACCGTCTGCACTCAGTACGCAAAGATGACTTCTGTACAGTTCTAAAGTTTTTTCTTTATTGTGTGCTGACTGGCCAATCAGATCCTAGGCCAAACGGATCCAGCCTGATCATTCTCTGTCGGAAAACGAGTTTCAGTCATAAGGCTTATTCCTTAACCTCTTCTGTAACATCCTTATCTATAGGTGGCACTAGAATGCCAAATCGATAGGTCAGCTATCGCGAATCCTGCTTTTATCAGACGGAATTTTCTGGAGATCAATGTTCTGTCATGGATATTAAAGGGGTGGTCACATCATTCAGTTCTGGGCTGTTATGCAACACCGAATGACGTGCTGATTTCTGTAGCCTACTGATGATTTTTAATGTCATTGTCACCACCTGCTCAGAAGGTCTGTAGCGATAGAAGCATTTCAAATCGTTCAGGTGTCTCCGTTAATTGATCTTCTCCGGGGCAATAAAACCATCCTCATCGGAGTCATGTGATGGTCGCAACGGAAACCATGCCCAGTAAAAGATGGGCTCTCTCGCCTAGCTGATTTAGTGCTATGTCTACTGTAATGTCATGTACGTTCTTTTGCCGTTGCATTGTAATGGCAGTTCTTGGTATAGTCCTTTTGAGATACCATGTCGAATTTGCTACGTTTGTGTTATACTAGTTGGCTGGTTAATTTATAGATCGGATGATAGTCGAAACTGTTTAACTGCCATTGCGGCTTGATACTGGCTCATTGGTTTCACTGAGGCCTCGTTAGATGCCTCAAGCGCGTTCTCAAATCGTTGATAGTCAAACAAATCTTGCCATGTCGGCCAACCTCAAAATAAACATCGAACTCAATGAGGAAGATCGCGGCAATCTGGGGTTGAAGGATGCGCCAATTTTGCCATGCTGGTATTTGTTTAAAACAATGAAACGCGAGCTTACATCACTATGAGGCGACCAGGGAATGCAGCCATTGGGTGAACAAGGTACAAAGTATCAAGAAACCATATTGCGTGTCAAGTCTGGTCGAGAATTGCATTAGCACATCATTTCTACTTCGGTACAGGCATATACACGTGTCTGTCTAGTATCGAAGTCGAAGAAGAGCTGGATGGGAGACGGCACATTAACCGCATATTCTCCAGGGAAATGCAATATCGTCGTTGCTATTAAACGTTCCCAATATTTCTTCCTCACAACGTCAATAACTCAGGCAAAAACGAAGGGATAGTTTCTTGCTGACCTCAAATAAGCGGATGATATTGTCCTGATGAGTAATACGGGGACCAGAATGTCTCAGCTAGCTGCTATCGTAGGCGACACATTTGCATATGTCTGCTTCCTCCCTAACGCCTGAAAGTCGAAATTACGAAGAATCCATCCGGAATTGCTGATCTGCAAGTCGAACCGAGAGATGAAGCGCTTAATGGCTGACCAATGCAAGTATTTTCGTTCGCCATCTCCACCAATGGTCCCAACCAGCCAGGGTCAAATCAAATCCTACCTTCGAATGACTTTGGAAGCCATTCCAATACTCGGGCTCAGAAAGGACTAGCTTTTGCCGGACAAATCCTCAGTCCGGCAAAACGGTTGAAAAGGGTAGAGCATCATTAGCTTCGACGCATAATAACGAGTAGATGGTGAGACGCGATTTATTTCAGTCGGCCAGCTTGTAGTATTGCAGATGTGTTCCAGGAGTCCAGCATGCAGCTTAAGTTGGAGGCAGATGTTCTTGTAGAGAGGAAATGTTCCTTCAATGATTCTGGTACAGCATGTAGCCGGTGCCTTATAGCTAAACTTTCCAAAACCTGAATTTGCATTTGACATCACAAATCACGGACGTTCCGTTTGTGCACACGGCTCATGGTGATTGTGTCAAAAAGCACAAGCATTCGTTGATACATGCAGTTTCAGTCATGATTCAATGTTCCGTCATGATTTCGAATTATTCTTCATCAAGTAGAGATTTTTGGACATTCCAGATGCCAATTGAATTATCGTTTGAGGTCATATTTCCGGAAAAAAAGCATAAGCTCATTTTTTAATACACTCTGTCTTTTATGCCTCATATGACTTTCATCTAATCACCTGACAATGGCTAATGGCTTGAGTATTTTTACGGTCACTGCTGTTGACTTGTTGTTTAATTTGCATTTATTACACTTGCATCCTCAGCTCTCCTAAGTCCTACTTCCACTGCCTCAGCATAATATGGAGACTGCAGCAGATTTTCAAAACCACGCAAAGCTGATCTTCTAGGTTCTAGAAATTCAGCCATGGTGTGAAAGCTTGTTAAATACACATGACGAAGTCGAAGAGGCAATACTGATAAACCCGTCTGGCTAGTGTGGTGATTTATGTCAAAACTGTTCAAAGATGAAATCACAGATACAATCACAGTCCTTATTCCCCCGGAGGCCGGATCGCAGCCGACAGAGGAAAGAGCTGATTAGACATGAAGGTAGAGCGTGCCAAAGATAGTCGGGCACGGATCAGAGTTGCCACGTAGTACTACTTTTCACAACGCACAACTGCCTGCCCACCTCGAGGTGAAGTAAGGCCTGAAAGGCTGGAAAGAATTTAGAAATGTCGAGTAGGAGATTGCCGGACTCATCGAAGTAAAAAGAAGGAAGGGTGTGGCTGTTAGGGCGTCAAAATGCACACGTGCTATTTTAAAGAAGATCTGCAAATGATAATACAGCAAGAGTGGGGTTTGCTATTCGCAGAAAATAAGAATAATATAGCGCAGTCGACAACAGTTCAGAGAGACGTGTAAGACTGGTTTTCCGAGTTGCAAAAAAGATCAGAATTCTAAGTGATTCAAGTGTTTGTGCCGACATCAAGCCATCCTGATGGAAAGATTGAAAATTTATGAAAAGAAATGAAAGAACTACATGAGCATGGAAAGGGACGTTAGAAGTTCATTACCAGTGGTTTGGACAATAAAGTCGGACCGCGCCGAGGTAACCAATCCCTTTTGGGCTGATTAGTTAACGGTGAAACGATCGATAAGGGTGAGGGACTAATGGAGTTCATTGAACAGAAAAGGTTGTTTATTATGAACACGCTGTTTCAAAAAAATAGAGTGTAGCGGATGGACGTGGAGAGTTCAAAACGACATAAAGAAGGAAATTGATTTCTTCCCCAGTAACATGAAGAACTCCGGCTATCGGGTGTTGAACAGGTTTAATGTACAAGAAGCAACCACAGGCTTTTAAGTGCGCCTGGATTCAGCTTTGAAAGGAAAGAAATTGCCGAAGACGAAACGGTAGGCACTGGATGTGTTGGAAACACGAATAAAGAAGGTGCCGCCATTTCAGTTCAAATTAAATAACCGATTGGAAATGCTTAACGGAATGAAAGAAGATGAAAGACGATGCAGCGAACGCCGGCCCAAATGGCGGAAAACATCTCCGGAACATGGGACCATGAAGGTCCCCCGAAAAACCACGAAACAGTCGAAGGGCGTCATGAAAAAACGAAGAAAATGACGACAGCAGTGGATCAGAAATCCAACATCGAATGCGTGAAAATTTGCTAAAATTTGACCAAACTTATGAAGGGAGACATGCGAGCATTCATTTGCAGAACAGTAAAGGAAATCGTTGAAAAAAACCGAGGCGTGGAGGGGTTTAATCAAAGAATGACGGTTGGGAAATAACAAACTTCTGCTGTCAAACAGGAGACCGGACTGTCATCAGGGGACGACAAGTCAAGACATTGTCAATCGACAGAGATTTGAATGAAACTACTGTACTGGTGCCGACGATGGACCTGAAGATGCAATTGACGTTAAAAATGAGATCTTGCCAGAGGAAATTCGGAATGCAGTAGAGGAGTCTAAGCGATGAAGGTCTTCCGGCGAAGTCGACAATACGGTGAAAACGGAATGGAAGCTTGGATATAACTGAATAGTTAAATCAAAGTTTATTTAGACTTTGACTATTTGCCCGACGTCTCACAATGTGTCATTAGAGAACTGTACTTCAGCAAACAGTGTGCTTAAAGAAGGCGAAAAGGGAATTAAAATAAATCTATGCAAAGTGCAGAGATTCCAGTTCTTGGCCAAACGACTATCCACCGATTTCCCGACCAGAAAGCAGCCACTGTGATGAATTCATAAAATAACATCTAATTTTCTAAATTCACAAATTCGAAAATTCACTAGTGGACGAATGATGCTCCGTGCAACAGTTTCATACTGTTATGCATCAGTCAATTACATAGATTCAACTACAACTAGGTGACTGTGTGCTAATTTACAATGGGCTCGTGTTATCAACATCCTGCGATCGTTAACCAGAATTTAGGAATTCAAAGTTTTAACAAGGTCACATATCATCGATAGAGAAAGGTTTTAATTGATATAGAATTTGATGAATTGAGTCACGAAAAACAAGAATATGATTTTGAAACTTCCATAAATTTAAACTAGCGGCTGTTAATGTTAATGTTGCCTGCTGACTTAATGACCTTGAGGTAAATGTCACCATGAAATCGTTGGATGAAATGCCAATTTTGATGCTTATGGCAAAAGTTTCATATTCTGCTTAAAACTAGCTTTCGAGCGATGCATAACGTGAAGGGCTAAATCAAGCAATTAATATGGATTATTATCTACAAATACATTAACTCTGACTGGATTAAAAAACAGCGCTTTGACTTTGAACGACCTCTCGCAGTCACGACGACGGAATCATAAAATAAAATGAAAATCACGTGCATTCCCAGTTTGACAACGGCGTCGCATTGTATACACACAGAGGTTTCCATTGATAAGCAACTTAATGGATGAGGTCAAATCATTGAAGAACATGAACATCTGCAAATGACATTAATTCAAACTCCTGACCAAAGACTGCGCGCTGACATCGCAGAGTAGTCAAAATGAAATTGTAATAAAAAAATTCACTGGTTTGCCAGCGGCATCGTATTTGACTCTCATAGAGCTATCCAATGATATATAACACGATATGCTTAATCTCGCAACTGATGCAGTTGACCACTGTCCAGTTATAGATTCAATGCGGCGGCCGTAGGATCAAGCGCTGGCACCAACTAGAGGTTTGCGCCATAATGGTTGCGCGTGAATGTCTCATCCCGGATTATACCTATTTCCATGTATTCACCCAGATGTGTCATTTTCATTAAAGACAGAATTGATATCAGCTATGTGAAATGCATAGTCTCTGTTCTCCTGTTTCCCTCCCACAGGTTTGTCAAAATGGTAATGGTTTATTAACCTCGGAAGGAAGAAAGGCGAGTGACCCTGACCACGACTTGAGCCTTAGATCTTTTGGTTCTGAGTTTGGCGCTATGCGGACCGCGAAACCTGATCTATGGTTACATGTGGTTAATTCCTTGCCCATGGAAATTCGTGGCAAATGCAAAGATTACTCGATTGAGGAGTATAACTCAGCAACTCTTCGAGTTTGATACCGATCTCTTACGGACTGTGCCACCATGCGGCACAGTGAACGGCGTGCAGTCACAAGGTGAAGTACTGACCGAGACATTAGTATGCTTGTTGTTCACGATTCCTGTATGAATTCAAAATTCCAGGCAACTGGACTACATTATTATCAATTTTACTTCGCACAGGATAACAAATACGGTTTGAAGAAGTACTTCTTCATCAGCTTGTTACCATAGGTCATCGCGAAGGCAGTGAGGAACAAACTCAGAAAACAAGGGCGG